AGAATTTAAAGAATCTTTAAAGAATTTTTAAAGAATTCTTTTTTTAAAGAATGGGAAAGATCAATAAAAATGTTTGAGTCGGTCGGTCGGTCGGTCTTTTTGGCGGGTCGGCCGGGTGAGGGCAAACAAACAATGTTTTTTATTATGACCCGACTCCAATACACAAATTTAGATATGCTTAATAAAGGTGTACTCTATAATATTATACTGAAAGTAGCAGCTATGCTAAAATTAAGGTGTAAGCATATTAATTACTAGTTTATTGTGTGCAGCTAATTCGTTTTGCTAACGCATACCATACCATGAACCTTTAGTTGGATTTAATGGGTTAAAACTTGTAGTTAATTCACACGTTTACTTGAACCAGTAACATGAGCATGTGTTATTGTCTGCACTTACAGCATGTGTAACTATCATCATCTGAGCCAGCAAACGGCTGAATAACTTGCCGACGACAGACCAGCGCTAGACATCTGAGGACTTCTTCCAGAAATTTGTCATTATTCTGCTAAAAACTGCAACAGTAACTATTTTTAGCAACAGTAACCAAGCAAAACCAGCAGTATGGCCAGTCCTCAGTGGAAGGTTTGTATAAGATCCTTACTAGGAATACAAGAAAAACCATATACTGTCAATCACACATATATGCAGTTTAAAAATAATTATATTATTGAGTAAATTATTATTCCTTATTATTAAGATCCATTATTTAAAAGTGGTTGTACAATTGAGCAGTGAAATTTACTAGTATAATTTTTTTAAATCACTGGAAGTGAAAACAAAGAATCGTTTGAGATATTTTGGGGTTCATTTCAGTGTGTTGATTATAGTGACTGGATTTTCGATTGCGTGGGTGCAATTCAAACATTAATTAATGTGTTGTTTCCACAATATGTTTCAGAATTTCCAGCCGCCAAATCAAGATGGTGCCATTTTAGCATTCCAGCGTTCTTCCAGCTATGACGGTGAATGCAGCGTGGCACAATCCCCTCCAGCACAGGGCAACGGAATCCGGGAGATCGGAGTCATTGGAAAACTTCTGGTGCAAATGCTTTACTGTTCTGTCACAACATTTTGTTCTGAATAATTTTGTGTACTTGCATAAATATGCATCGACGCTTATGTATATGTACACAGTAGGATCTCATGTAGTAATAGTAATTGGTTTTACCAAAATCTCCATAATGCAAAAGCATTAGTATAGACTGAGTATATTACATGTTATAGGCTTCATCCATTCTAAGATCATCAGCACTTGAGATTCTTCACCTAAAAAATGAAACTTCATAGTATCTAAACTGCATTTATACATATCAAAACATTTTGAAGGTTTGATATCATTGCAAATATTGTTAAATAATTAATAAGTTGGCAAATGAAATGCACTGATAGATGATTGGACGGCATAAAAAGCATTTGGGGATTAAAAATGCTTTTTATACTAATTTTGTGAATTGTAGATTGCCATAAAAATTATTAGTTCTCCTTTGAATGTTCTGATTTGCCAAAAATGATACTGGCATGGTATTGTACCACCATTTTAATACAAAATATTCATTAGGCCAAAACAAAATATAGGTGTGGTTACGGTTTCCCGACTGACCCTATTTATTCCCAGCTACCCTAAACATTTTATTGTCAATTTTCTTTGTCAAGTTAAGTCAAAAAAAATAAAAAAAATGAATTGGACAGTTCCTGCTTCAAAAGGCACAACGCACATCCTTCGGACATGGTTCGTAAATAAAATATTTCAAGAAAATAAAATGTTTTCCCTTCCTACCTACCCAATTTTTTTTTTGCATGTAGCGGTAACCACACATATATTTTGTTTTGGCCTTATGAGAATATCTAAGGTATAGTAAGCTAAGGACCACTGAATGTGAAATGTCTCAATACGACTGTGATTTTATATGTGATACTACTGTATAAAAGATTAGTTCCTAGTATTAGTTTTGCTAATGATATTGGTCATATTTCTGCTTACATATGATGATTGTTTTCTAATTTCAGTTTTCCTATGGATTTGTTCAGTGTTGCAACCGCCAAGAAAGATTGTTTTTCCATTATAGTCAGTACCAGGGAGATATTAACCAAGCTAAAGTAGGAGGTAATGCCAATTATAATGTAAAATGCCCCAGAGCACTTGTCTAAAAATGTAACTGTGTGTCCAACTTAAACTCATATCCCATGAAATAGCGACAAAGCGAAAGAAGTGCTCTCTTGATGTAATCATGTGCTTCATGTATTGCTCCTGTATTTGGCTTGGCCTGAACTCTTTGGTTGTATCTCTTTCCAGATTTAGTAGAATTTGAACAAGGTGTGGATCGACGAACAGGAAAGGCTATTGCAGTAGCTATTTATGCTATGCCGCAGCAGGCTCCAGTGCAGGAAGAATATCCAGTACTCAGTAATGACAGAGTCATTGGAACTGTCATCATAGTGGCACAACCACCTCCGAAACATGCCGTATGTTAAAAGCGTTTATGGCTGACAATTTGTATATGCCGTTTCTGTATTCATGCTGACAGAATTTTCAATGTGTTTATTGCAACAGAACTTCGTATTTCCACACAAGTAATGAAACCATGTTAGCTAACAAAGTGCAAGTTTCATTTGCCAAGAGTGCTCGTCTGAAATGAATAAGTTTAACAGCTGAAAGCCTCTCTAAATTTAACAGTTGAAATGTTTATTGTAAAACTATTGATGCATTTTGCACATTTTCTGATCTGTTTGAAATCTGTGCACAAACAGAAGCCAGGCGAGGCGGGCCAAGTTGGACGTATCCAATACGAGAGTAGTGGTGAGAGTTTTTTCCTGCCTTACACACATAAAGATCTTGTGGGCCCATTGACTAGACTCCAAGCAGGCGATAAAGTTTCACTGATTATGGTAACTGACAAGAGGTATGTTCATTTGGATTTTGTTTTAATTTGTAAATCCTAAGAATTTCAAGTATTAAATGTAAGAATTGGAAAAATGCCAGAAATGCAAGTATTTTACTTTGACCGTGAAAATGCACGAATACAGTGCAGCACCTCCCCCCCTCCCTCCTCCTCCAAACGCCCCGCGCAGGCTACGTCCCTAGGTACTAGTTGCATTTAAATGTGAACCCGGTCGGATGTTTTTCCCCCCGTGACATTAAAGTGTCTAGGAACCCCCGGCTAGAAAGTCCCATGGTATGATGTGCTGCAATGTTCTGCCTGCAGTGCCACAATATCCGACAGCCGAACGGGAGCGCTGCAGGCGCAGGATGTGCAGAAGTTTGACCAAGAGCTTCAGCGGTTCCATGGTGTCGTCTGCTCCTGTAAAGATAGCTTTGGCTTCATCGAGCGTGCGGACATTGTCAGCGAGGTATTCCTCATTGTCCTAGCCGATGCTACCTGGACTTTAGTCGTCTAATGTAATTTTTGCGATGCCGTGTGTGTGTGTGCATGTGTGTATGTGTGTGTATGGGTGTGTGTGTGTGTATATGGGTGTGTGTGTGCGTGTGCGTGTGCGTGTGCGTGTGCGCGCGCGTGTGTGTGTGTGTGTGTATGTGTCCTCACGCGTGCATGCATCCAAGTGAGTCGACTGCCGTCTATTATTTGTGTTGTATTGTGTAGTGCGAACCATTTAGTGCGTTTTTGGTGTTCAGTTTTTAAATTGTCATTTTTTGTTTTTTGTTGTTGTACAGATATTCTTCCACTACAGTGAGTATAAAGGTGACATAAACGAGCTTAAGCTAGGAGAGGATGTGGAGTTCTCCGTACAAGACCGCAACGTAAGTCCACCGTTAGTTTCGTACAGTGATGCGTGAGGTGCATCAAGCCTATGCGGTTATATACTGTTCCAGATAAATTGGTCCAACATTAACAAAAATAGCGTAGTGGGTAAATTCATAACTTGGCATAACATTCTCCATTCATCACAGAAGAGAAACTAGTTCACATTTACTATATTAATGTAGAAAATAGCAAGTTAAAGTCATTGTTTATGCCACCTACATGTTTTTTTTATTTTATTTATATTTATTTATTTAGGCAATTATCCATCATATACAATACATAGCATACTTTTACAATAAAATTCTGAATTCATAAAATTGGATAACTACCAAGGATATATACACAAAAAGCATCACTAGCACACTTATTTACATTGTGGTCCTTGTTTTGCTATGCTTTGAATCTAACAATTACACTACTATCAGCACTAACTATTGAAATATACAAATTTGTAACTACCAATGACCAAAAGACCAACCGGTCATACAATCGTACATTCTCATAAGACGATACAAACTTTTCTTATGCCTAATTTCAACCGAATTCTTTTATCGAAAATCATACTCCTTGTCCTAACTTGCTTTGGTAGAAAGTTCCAAGCTTCAATTGCAGTATAAGTAAAAGAGTTTTTCCCACTGCTTCCCACCCTCGGTTTAAAAATAGACATCTCACCTTCCCTTGTATTGAAACTATGGACTTCTGACGTTAACATGAAACCTTTTGTCATATACTGTGGGACGAGATTATGCAATATTTTAAAAACTCTATTGACCTTCAGTTGCGTTACCCTGGGGCCCGTTGTCAGAAACATCGTAAAGTTAATGCTAAAGTTAATGCTACGATAACACTTACGACTAATGCTAATGTTGCGAGACTAGCGTTGACAGAAACACATCGCAGCTATTAGAAAACTTACGATAACAGGAACTTCATCACAAGGCTGCTGATTGGATGAGAATCAATCACAAAATTCAAATTCATACACTATTATTGACATCACAGTAATTTAATGCAATATTAATAATGCAATAACCACAATAAATTAATTTAATTGAACACGTGCAATGATTATTCTGGCACACAAGACACAAATTATTCACACGTAACTACGCGAGACGGCGAGAATGTGTCGCCTAGCGTGAAAACCTTTAGAACAAGAGAACAAATGCCTAACCATTTGTAAAACTGTGTGTTTTGTTAGCTCATCTGAACGTATGTCAGATCAGCTTGTAAAAGAATCGCATAGATGCGCCGCCGCCGGTTTCGTAGGATTTATTGTTAGGCCGTTCGGGCCGATTGATAAGAGTTCCGTGTGGGCGGGGGGGGGGGGGGGGCGGCGCCCCGGGCAGCCGGCAACAGTTTGGGTCACAATCTAAACCGGCGAAGCGTACGGTCACGATAATGCGGTCGTGGGGTGATCGCAAAAACGTAGTTTGGGATATCGAGCTGGTTCAGAGGTCAATGAAAGGTGGAAGGCAGGTGAAAGAAAGGGGAACAATTCATCTTCCTTAACTTAACGTACTAGGGAAGCAAATGCAGAACTGCGGCATCAAATCTAAAACGGCTCGACATCCTAGCTCGTGATTAGTCGGTGTAATAGCATCATGGCGGAAAGCCATCACTGTGTGCCGAAATGGAACGTCACAAGATCTAAAGGTCAAATAGCGACACAAGGACAGAATTTAGACAATTTCTAGGACATGCGTCTGACGAGCGATCTGAAAAAAAACTTTGTTCAGCGGTGAACCTAGACATTCTATATGGCTTATTGGAAAGACCATGAAGTCCTTCTGACTGACATCCGAATAAGTAAGTGTCTATAACCTTATTGACCCTCAAAGAGGTTATAAACATGGAATTTTACGTCTGTAGAAGAATTCGACTGCCGGATTGCTATTCAAATCTATACAATGCCTGAGTAATATCTACAAATGTCACAGTGAAATTTCAAAAAGCTAAATTGTAAGAATGTTATGCGCCATAAACGTAATAATTTCTATGGCATCTAATACGCTCAGTAATGTTACATGTAATTAGTCCAAACTGCAGTGGCCACGCAGTTTTGCCTGCGTAAATATGGTTACAGTGGCAGCTCTCTAATTGCGCTGTAGCACATGCCGTAGGTAAAATAGAGAGTGCTACCTATCTGATCTTGCAAATCGTTTGTTGCTACACTAAACGATGACTCCATCATTTAATCTGAAGACAACTTAAACTAAAACGCGCCATCTTGTGCAACTTCATAAACGATCCCAAACGAACCATTCCTTCAAAAGGTTCCTGAACCATCCCTGTGCATTCCCATCTGTTCGGCGAAATGTAAGTGAACACATTGGACTAACAGGCGTACCAGAATCCCACCATTTTTTAAATTTTGCCTTGTTTCCACATACAGAGTCACCAGCAGTAAGACTTAGATGAGCGCTGTCGCTCTGCGCACTTGTTTTATATACGTGAAGATAATTATATTTTGACTTTTTTCAAGAAGAAACACACATATATCATTATTAAAATAATATAATCATCACATACATTGAATTCTAATGGAAGTCGTTAATTCAACTTAGATATTAAAGTTACGTGAGGGTCTGGGCTGTCGTAATGTTATGAGGAAATTTCCGAGGATTTTTCGTTCTAGTAACCTTACGATGTTTCTGTCAACGGTTTACGAGTGGAAGTTAATGGTAAGACTAATGTTGCGACTAATTTTGTTTCTGACAACGGCCCCCTGAACTCTACAGGTACCCAATTTACAGCCTTGAACTCTCTAGCACTTATGTGTGCTCTAGTACCTAGGTTGAGAACACATCTAATGGCGTTATTTTGACACACTTGCAGCTTAGCCCTTGTGCGCTTTGTGAGACTGCTGTACCATATACTGCTTGCATAGTCAAAATGACATTGAATTAGGGCAGAAACTAGTAATCTTTTACATGCCGTGTTTAAATACTTAGCTTTTCTGGAAAGAAATTTCAATCTATTGTTAAATTTTTTTGCAACCTTAATTCCCATTACCTCACCACTCATGGAGTCTTCCAAGTTTATTCCTAGATACTTAACTGTATTTTTATGTGCAATTGCCACCCCATTACATCTGATGTCTAGTTTTGGATTATCCCCGAGTTTGTTTAGTTCCAAAAATAATACTTTCTGTTTTTCCAAGATGCAAGGATAAATTATTATCATTGAGCCATTTATTCATGGAATGCAATTCTCTACTTAATTCTTCCTGTATAGCCTGTACCTCTGTCCCCGAAACTACTAAGGCCGAATCGTCAGCATATAATAAAAGCTTGACGTTAACTGCCTTTGCCATGTCATTAACATAAATCCGAAATAACAGAGGACCCAAAATCGAGCCTTGTGGTACTCCATATGCAATAGGGTCCTTATTAGAGAAGGTACCTCCTACATCAGTTATTTGTCTTCTACCAGAGAGATGAGCACCGAACCACTTCACAGTCCTAATATCCATTCCGATAGTTTTTAGCTTGGCTAGTAGAATTTTATGGTTAACGGTATCAAAAGCTTTTTGAAGATCTAATAAAACCTCTCCAGTTAGATTTCCTTTGTCCGACTCATTACAAATAATATCAGTTAGATGGATTAAACTTGTGTCAGTTGAGAAATTTGATTTAAAGCCAGATTGGAACTCGTACAGTAAGGAATGTTCTATTAAATATTTCTCTATTTGGTTATAGGCTATTCGCTCCAAAACTTTGGACATGACACTTAAAATTGACACAGGCCTATAGTTTTCGGGTTCTGTTTTGCTATTCTTTTTATGTATCGGAATGACCCTTGATGCCTTCATGTCATCAGGGATTTTTTCTTGGATGAATGACATGTTGATTACATGTGTAAGAGCTGAGCAAATAACGTTTGATCCATCTTTTATAAATTTTGCGGGAATATTATCTAACCCAATAGCCTTACCTGTATTAATGAATGAATTTTCTACTACGCCAATTTTGAAGACTAATCTCATCATACGTCCCTTCTTTTTGTGGTAGATCGTTCACCAAGTTTGAGGCCACACTTGTGAAATACTTATTAAAATTATTTGCAACAATTGCTTTGTCAAAACATATATTTTCTCCAATTTTTAGCCCTACTCCGCCCAAGTTACTGGTTCCCTTATTTTTCATCCCCATACTCTTTAAATTCTGCCATAATTTTTTAGGGTTATTTTTGTGGTCCTCAACCCTTTCCGTATAGTAATTAGCCTTTGCTTTCTTAATTTTATTTTGAACTTTGTTTCTAAGCAATTTAAAATCCTTGTATGTAATTTCATCTGTACTCCTCTTGTGAAGTGCTCAGTAATTTTCTATAATTCTCTTTCCAGAATAAGCTCCCTAATCTCACTATCAAACCATGGCTCAGTTCTTTGTTTTATTCTAACTTATTTAATAGGGGCGACAGTGTCAATGGCCTCTAGGAGGTATTTTTGAAAAATTTCCCATGCATGCTCTATAGAATCCACGTTAAATTTTTTTATACCATTGCTTCTCTTTTAACTTGGCTCTAAATACCTCTGGACTATATGTTTTTAATGATCCAATTCTCCTAGTAGTAGTAGTAGTGTTATACTTACCTATAACCTGTCTTGAAGTTTTCCTAGTACAGTAAGTTAGAAAATGATCACTCACTCCCTTGGCTATGATGCCCAATTGACTAATTTTGAGTGCATCAGAAACCATTATTAAATCGATGGCGGATTCACTTATATTAGTTACTCTAGTCGGAGTAGTGATTAGTTGTTTGAGATGATATTGGTAGCAGTAATCTTTAAGAGCCTTAAGCATTCTATCGCCTTTTCCCATTGATTTTTCTAGAACGTTAACATTGAAATCCCCTAATATAATAATTTCCTGCTCATTGAACCTGTCAGCATTTATACTAATATTTTCCAATAGTTTAAAGAAGTTGCCTTGTTTTGGTGGTCGATAGCATACCCCGGTCTATAATGGTTTTGATATTGGTAGTAAGATATCAACCCATATAGCTTCGAGCCCCACTTTATCCATATCAGTTCTTATGTTATATGCTAAATCATTCCTGATGGAAATACACACCCCACCACCTGATCTATCTCTATCCCGCCTTTCTACACTATAATTTTCAATTTTAATTTCAGAGTCATTAACTGACTCATCTAGCCAGGACTCAGATACCGCAATCACTGCAATCCTAGCTAGCATAGCAATATATCTAAATTCTTCTATTTTAGGAAGGATACTGCGAGCATTTAAATGAATGAAATGTATACCTTTCTTTTGGGAAAAACTGATTTCTGATGAGTCGCGATGGCATGGGTCTACTCCAGTTATTATTAATTCTGTGTCTCGTTGAAACTTATCTGCCGGGTCTTGAAGTGTAGTCAGCTTGGAGCTCCTAGGGATTGGTTCCTTTGACGCTAGCACGATTGATGTATCCTGCCCCAACCTTCTAGTTTTCCTGATGAACTTTAACGAAGTTTCCAGCCAGTCGATCTTCTCCCTTCCTGTTTAAGTGTAGTCCATCATGGGTGTAGACCATGTAGAGGTTCCGCCTGCCCGCGAAGTCTGCCCAGTTGTCTAGATACTTTACCCTACTTGCCTTGCACATGGTCCGGAAGGTGTTGTTGATCGACATCAATTTCTGGTTGATGTCTTTAGATCTGAAACAAGGAATTGTTGTGCTGTCAACAGTATACTAATCAATAAACTGTCACAAAATGCAGTGCATCTTATAACCTTCACAACTATTTCTCTGTCACATGATGGCCTAGGGTAAGGAGGTAGCTGTAAACATCACCAGACTTCCAGAGGGCAGCGTAGTGTTTGAGACACTGGATGAAAAGCTCGTCAGAGGACACATAAAGAAGGTGATTGGCAAAAACAGGAGGCAGAGTACTGCTGACCCACTGCCAGGGAGGATCAGCTACAAGGAAAATAACGAGTATGTCTTGGCCACTGTCTAATCGAAGATTTAGCTTTAAAGATATCCTATACGGTATATCAAATTGGTAGAACTGATGGTGTACAGATTGCTTGAACTTAGTGGTTGACAAGTTATATAAAAGAGTATGAATATAAAAGTAAGTCTAGTAACATAATACAAGCCACCAGGTCTGTGATATTGCCTAGTAGTTCAACCAAAACAAACATCAAAAGTTATTAGTGAGTCTGTCTGTGAGAGACGTGAACAGGCTAGTGCACTTGTTTGCTTTCATTCGTTTCTAAATGATTCCTAATTTCGTGCATATCTGCATTGATATAGAGAGAAGGATATCCAGTATGGCGAGAAGGACCTTCTCGGAATCTTCACTCTCCACGAAAACGATCTGGTCGAGTTCACTGTCGCTACGGATAAGAGGGACCAGATGCAACATGCAACCAACATCGATTTTCTACCAGAGTCTTTCAAAATATCACAGGAATCCAGAGAGACTGTGAGTACTTGCACATCTTATCGTATTCATCGTACATGCGTTGTAATACTAGATTATGCTTAAGCCGTATGAGACCTAGATAGTGTGCGGTTTCAGGTGGTTCGTATTATGGATTTTGAACAATTTGTAAATTTTTTCCATGAAGGGCATCTCGCATTGCTGTGAATTGTGCCAAAGCATAATAGTAAGTGTGAGAGTATGGCGTATAAAAGAGTATGAAGTAATATTTCACAGCTTCTGACTGTCTGATGATTTGTGTTGCAGGGGCTTGTTGCTGTGGTAAAGGACGGCTTTGGTTTCATCAAGTGTGCAGAACGAGAGGCAAGGATGTTTTTCCACTTCAGCGAATTCCTGATTAATAGTTACATGCCGAAGGTGCAGGATGAGGTGGAGTTCACTGTGTCGCAGGTATGTCTGTGCGTGTGCAAGTGTCTGTGTGCATGCGTGCATGCGTACATGTCTATGCGCGCGTGTGTGTGCATGTCTATGCATGAGCACGTGTGCATGTATCGTGAGTGCATGCATGAAATTGGATAAAACGAGCACAAATTTCTTGTGGTCAGGATGATCTAGATTCTAGAGTGTGGACGCTAATGCAAAATGAGTTGCAGTTTCAATATTCCATAACTGTATCACTGATGTGCTGAGCATCAACATCCACTTTTAAATGACGTTCATAATTTCGAATTGTCTAACCGAAATCTGACTACCCTAATGCACACTTCATCCACATCCACAAACACCCCAAAATGGTGGCGAAGATCATTAGTACGAATTTACACTCGGCAGGATCACAGCTCTAGCCGGCCCGTGGCAACACGCATTAAGACTCTGTCGAAGGGAAGCATAAGCTTCGAGACCGTTCTGCTTGACAAGTACACCGGGTTGGTCGAGAAAGAGGCCATCTCTCAGCGAAACAGTACCAGAAGTCCGACGAAAATTACGAAGGTATGCATAGTAGAATTCTGTTCGTTCGTTGCAATTAAGATTCACGTGATATTTCTGAATTCAATTTTCTTGCTTTGTACCAATAGAAGAAGACTATAGTGATGGATAATTTATTTGATGTGTATGAGTGGTTGGGTTGTGTTTGAATAAGTTCAGCATGATTGTAGCATACGTTGTATTGGGAGCTACGATAGCATCATGTTAATCCAGCATCTGTTATTGCAATTAATCTTTAACAAACCTGTATTTTTAGCAGGAGAATGGAGTTGGAGAAGTTGGAGAAATTAAATATGACGTCGATGGCGAGTCCAACATTGTGAAGTTCCTCATGAAAGATGTTGATATCAGAAATGTGCCAAAACGAGGGGACAAGGTAATCGTGCCTGTTGTTGTCATGTTACGATGGCACTGCTTTGTAGCACTGTCGTTTGCCGGGTCAACTATTGCTTACTGAAAGCTAGTCAGCGAATTGCGGTCAAGATGCAGTCAGTTTAGTACTGTAAGACAGATGAGATGCGTACAAGATTTTCCATGTGAAATGTTACAGTAAATAATAGGAACAACACTAACTTGTGTTCTGCTCCACTGACCAATTTGTGGCGTGCTTATTTTTTCTGATACTATTAACTTTATTATTATCCTAATTATCATGATTATTATCTATTGAACTTTTATTTTATTTTTTTCGTCACTAGGTGGAGTTCCAGATCTGTGAGCAAAAGCGCAACAGTGTGCACACGGCTAAAAACATCCGTGTGATCTCGAGAGCTGCGCCGCCACGTCTGCGAGGCTTCATCGCCACCCTCAAAGAAAACTTCGGCTTCATTGAAGCTCTGGATCGTGACAAGGAGGTCTTCTTCCACTACAGGTTGGCGTCTTGCACGAAATGAGTTATTTTAAGCATGAGATTTATGCGAAGTCTCTGAACATAGAATTTAAGGAGGGTATAGCATTTGCGTGAGGTATTTAAATGTTTCAATGCGTGTTTCAATCTCATGTTAGCAATTATGTACCAGTGTAATGTTAAGGTAGCAATTTTTCTGGGTAATTGATATTTTCTTTAAGGTGAAACAGTGTTACACTAATTTGCCATAATTTATATGTTCTCATTAATTAAATACCTTGTATCTATTATCCTCCCTCAATACTATAGTGCTCGATTCTACAAAAAAATGATATCTGTGGATATCATGTTTTCAGAATTCCCACATTTCGCGCTGTTTGATAAAAGTATTTGCCGACATTGTAGTTCGTTTGATGGTGATCCCAACGAGTTGGAGTTTGGCGATGAATTGGAGTACTCCACAACGCGCAAAAACGGGAAGGTGAGCGCAGAGTCTGTGGTGAAGTTACCCTTGGGATCCATCCAGAAAGCTGAAGTGGAGGAGAAGGAATATGAAGGAAAGGTGATAAGACCCTTACGTAGCAGCAACCCGGAACAGGACGAATATGCGGGCGTCGTTCAAGTCAATGCTGAAGGTAATTGGCCAGGTGTGGGAATGTGTTGTAAGGAATCGTCATGGTTTTCGTACAACTCCCTGTGATGCACATCTGTCGGCTCCTGTCTGGCTGTCTCAATAACTCGTGTGGTCTGTCGATGACAAATTCTTTCCATTTTGGTTTATTTACTGTGTCCACATACAAGTATGGTAATGTGAATCATCAGTGATCACAGAGAATAGTATGTAGTCGGGTTTAGCATTAGGGTAATACAAGTCACTGTTAGGTCAAGGTCTATATCATAAATGCCCGATAGCAGATTGATTGATAGTGATCATATGATGATATTGATCAGTTGTGCAGTGTGTTGTTATTGGGCTCGCTGGCCCTGGCTGCAGTCATAGTGTGAGTTTAATAAACATCTGGACATTACAGGAGAAGAGGTCGGACAGACGTACCAGTTCACCGTTATCAGCTTGCTCAACAAACAGGAGTTCTTGCAGAAGGGTGACCCGGTCACGTTCAAGTTAACTAAGTCGATGAACAATGGGCCGCAGTATGCCGCCGGCTTAGAGGCAAAGCACAAGATCGTTCAGTCACGTGTAGAGTCAATCAAGGGTCAGGTGCGTCAACCTGAGAGTGTCCGACTTTCTTTAAAAAAAAGTTTCTTGTGTTGTGCATGCGAACGTGCTTGTTTTCTGTTTGTTTCTATTTTTTCATATAGTTTATTCAGCTGTGTCAGGGTCTCCAACCGTTCCTCATTCTGCGGAATCATTACGATTTCTAGGCTTAATTTCCGAATTCTGCAGCGGCAAGGTTATATTCCTCATTTCAGTTGCACTGTACAAAATTTGCACTGATTGTTCGCTTGGACACATTGTTTTTTTTCAGGCATGTCTACTGTAAATGGAACAGCCTAGTCAGACAGGCGCTGTCTGCAAGGTGTCGCGTAGTTTGTCTGCTAATCAGACAAGGGTTGTAGGGTTGAGATAGTATTATCAGACATGAGAATATGGCCCACAGTATGCCCCAGATTGCAGGAAAATTGCTTAAATATTTCAAATTTTTCTGGGGGGGGGGGCAAGGTACATTTGGCACCCCCCCCCCTGTCCATCAATTTCTGAATACACCACTAGTTACTGATCACCGCGGGAACATTCCGCATTTGGAGTTCACAGGGTTGGAGACCCAGCTGTGTATATACGGCTGGGAGATGTGTATGTGTTTAAGTTAATACCCTAAAACTATGCTTTCATTTTCTTCAACTATGCTTTGGTATGATATCCTCATTGTAATGCTATACAGTGTAGTGTTTCCCCTGCATTGACACGAGCAAGGCGGGCCACCTCGCTGACGAAAATCACTGTTCTTCTATAGAACAGTGCTTATAATGCACCAAAATAGCTTAGAATGCACCAAATTGCATCATTGTTTTCCGGGGGGGGGGGGCAAGCCCCCAGACACCTCTAGCTGGGTGAGCATCTGCGGTGCTCGCTTTGCTTGGACCTCGAAACACGCAAACACACCAAAAGATGCTTACCACATCACAGACCTTTTTGGCCAGTGGAAACACTGCAGTGTTATAACAATACCTGACTAATCAACATGATTGACCAGTTGAGCGACGATGTATCAGATCCAGTCACATTCCTGCTCTCTTTTATCCAGTTTGGATTCATAAGCCACGAGGTTGAGGAGGGAAAGAAGTTGTTCTTCCACATGTCGGAGGTAGGCGGGGGCACAGAGCTGCAGGCTGGTGACATCGTCGAGTTTGTCGTCATCCAGAACCAGCGCTCCGGCAAGACGTCGGCGTGTAGCATCAGAAAGATCAGGTGAGAGTAGAGAGAGATTTACACGTGTGTAGATTACGTGGAGCTAGAGAGAGATGAAGAGAGAAAGAGAGAGGAAGAGAGATAGAGCGAGAAAAAGACAGCGAGGTAGAGATGGGGGAGAGCAATAGAGGGAGAGAGAAAGAGAGAAAAAGGGTAGGGGAGAGAGCGAGAGAGAGAGAGAGATGGTAGTTTTATTCTCACCTGTTATGTCGCGTCGATTCGATCGATCTATTTTGACCTACAGGTTTCACAACATTACTGCTTTCATGTGCATCTGATTGTGTGCTCTCCTATATATATAGATACACACACACACATATATATATATTTATATATATATATAATATATATATATATATATATCTTCCTGACGATACCTTCGTCACCCTCCAAGTCATGGCACTGTGCTGACGCGCACTGATCTGTTTCTTGCAGCGACGCGCAGGCGCCGCGGCCGGAGCGGCTGCTCAGCCGGCTGAAGAGCATCTCGTTGGATGAGACGCAGCCGCGCGTCGTCGTCACGCGGCAGCCGCGAGCGCCCGACGGCACGCAGGGATTCACGCTCGATCGCACGCCGCCGCCGCCGCCCCCGCAGCAGGAGGTCGCTGCTTAGACCCCGCCGATGCTGAGCACTCTGCGCTTCTCTCGGGGATGACTGCGCTGCCGGAGGCTGACTCGTCGGTCTACTCTCTTGCGTGTCTTGCCCTGAAGATGATGATTAGCCTGTTTGTTTATGTGGCAGAGGAAATCATTTTTTCGAAGTAACAGGATGTTTTTCTTTCAAAATTCGCGCACAGGCTCTCGTGTGGAAGTCTAATTACTTTGCTGCTGAACTGATTTGAACGTTTCAGATATAGTTCGTTCGTATTTTGCATCGTAATTAGTTACGAAATTTCCCGAGAACTGGGTGCCTCTGCCAGCAAACAGGCTCTCCGTTTCTGCAGTAGAATAGTAGTTACTGTTACTTATTTCTGTCCGTCCGTGACAATTACATTAGCCGAATTGCAATAGCACATGATGTTGGAATTTCTACTGTTTAAAAAAAAACGACGAAATTCCAACGAAATACGAAGGTTTTGTACATACTGCCTGCCGTCTGGCAGCAACAATCATCGGCTCACATCAGGTAATCCGAGGTCTAACCTGCTAGCCATGAATCTCTGCCACACTTCTTTTCCCCTACTATATCCGACCGCGTACGTGTTTGTAAGCAAGTAACTGCGGGTACGTCTTGAGTGATGCGGTCGTTCGGTTTGCGTGCGTTTCCTACAGGGCTGCGGTTTGTATTGGCCGGGATAGGGATGACAGTGGCTTCACGGCCATTGTAACCCTGTCGTTATCATTACAGATGACAACGCAGTGTCATTTCTTGTAAGTGACGGTAATCGAGATTTGCGAGTGGTTGAGTGCTACCGACTCTACTGAAATTCCGCGTGTAAACTCCAGGTGTCTGACTGTGAAGGGTTGATTGGTGGCATCTGCGCAGCTTTTTAACTGCTATGAAGTCTGTATGTACACTAGCGATAAAGCTGACGGGTGTGACCATGAAAGCCAGTTTGCCAGCATATTGTATAGAATTGCATGTGATGAGGCACTCCATGCATGCAGATGCATGTTTGAGTAGTAGGTCAGGAGACGCGGTGAAAAGAGAAAAAAAGAAATAAAAAGTTGGTTGCTGACCTGTAGTTTTTCTAGCTGTTTGGTCGGGCTGTGTGGATTAAAAGCAGTAACACAACAGTTCAGTAACCGAATTGAAAAATCATTAAAAAAACAAAAGTAACTAAGAAAGCAACGAAAAAAGAATAATGGTGAAAATTTTTAACTTCTTTATGTATCTGCGATATCAGTGAGAATTGACTGATTTAGACTTTTGACATGTCTGAATGATTTTCTTATGGGATTACGTGGGTTATGCTATCAGATGTGGAACTTTCGAGATCGCCGGTGAGGCCTTGTTCAACCTGATTTGATAACTGTAGAGCTAAATCGAGCCTACCTCAAACAGTTAAACCATTGGTAGTGAATAAGAAAAAACATTCAGTTACTCAAGATTATCTGTCTGTTTGTCACTTGCCTTTTTTAGCGGTTTGCGAACTCTGATTCGGCTTTACTAGTTACATATAGGTATTAAGACCATTCTGTTGTTTTTGAAATGCTTACAAGGAAACAGAATTTCAAACGCCTTCACTCATGTTTATTTAAGGAGGTTTGATCACGCCTTGTTGCACGTGAGTGATTCTTATGGGATGAGTTGACGTGGTAGCAGATATACTTGGTTGGTATTCTCAATATTATTCTGTAAAACTATTTTACAGAAGTGAGAAACGAAGAAGAATGAGAGTGCGTTTTCTATGTGCATAATTCGCAGTACGAAACTCTGGGTGGGCTCCTAATCTTTTGGTTGTTAAATATCCAGTAGTGTTAGCTATATCCCCATTCTAGATCCCACTATATGTAGAGCTGGGATGAGTTCAATACTGGTTTACACTTCTATGCCGACGTGAAAAGAAAGTGTGGATTCCTACAGACAAATCACGGTACCAAGTCGTAGTATCATTCAAGCATTGTTTTACTAAATCTATTATAAACCAATGCGTACATTATTTCATCTCACTAACAACATGTTTGTGTACATTAACTCTAACAAACAGGCAAGGTTAGTGACGTCATGTGTACGCTTGCTATGAGAACGTGTTACATGTGTAACTGCATCTCTACTGCGAGTTGGAGGGCTCCAAACCATTTTTCGTACATCCGTTATAGTGAGTGAATGAATTACCAAAGGCTGAAGTGTAACTAGTATTACAAAGTATCTATCCAACACAGAAATGACTATCTGTCGTGAGCTCCGTGGGTACAAGTTATAGGGTTTGGTAACACTTTATAAAACTGTCACTATTGTGTGGATGTCCAAGGTGTTGCCAATGAGAAGCGTGTGTGAAGCTTTGCTACGGACTAGAATCTATACTAACGGAGTACGCTGGCGATAGTCATTCTCTACATGGCTGTGTCCTTGATTATACTACAGCCATGGGTTTATGTTAATCAATCTTGTCGGTACAATGGCATGCTATTGCCGTTGATTTTTGCGAGCTATTGAAAATCGAAGTGCGGGCAATAGTTTGAGGGGAAAAAGATAAAAATCTAAATGCTTTTAAAAGAAAAATGTCAAAAACAAGAAAAGGGGAAAAAACAGAAATGATAACGAAAAATCTTACCGAATCTAACAATGGAACGATGAGTGATTAGGCAAATTTAAGAGTTGATTGGTAGGATTTTTTGGGAGTTCTGGACTTGTGTCTGGAGAAACTAGTAGATTGCTAAATTTGGAGGATTGTCGACGTCTTCTGTACTAACGTCCGGGCGGGCAGTAGGCATGCAATTGGCAGTCGTGACTAATGCACAGGGAAGAGTGCATCCGCGACCCGACCGGCTGTGTGATGAGAGTCGATGATAGAACGGGCCATTTGTGTCTTCTGCTACTATCAGTCATTTAAATCGTGTGGTCAAGTTTGTTCCACAGCCGTGTGGTGGCGAGTAAAATAATACTAGTTAGTCTCGCGTGAACCCTTATAATATATGCGCGTGCGCGCGTTCGTGCGTGCGTTCTTTCGTGTGTGTGTGTGTGTATGTGTGTGTGTGTGTGTATGTGTGTGTGAGAGAGTGTGTGTGTGTGTGTGTGTGTGTGTGCGTGCGTGCGTGCGTGCGTGCGTGCGTGCGTGTGTGTGTACGTATGTGTGTGCGTGTGTGTGTGCGCGTGCGTTTGAATGAGTGCGTGTTTGCGTGCTCGTGTGTGTGTGTGTGTGCTTAGCCTGGCACGCCGCCGTACACGGTATTCTGGCGCGATAAGAAATCGAGATGCATTACAGATGCGATGAAGCCATGTGCGCTCAGAGCTACGCTTCTGCTGGGAGCTGCACATTATGTGCGGAATCCGCCGGTAACCAGGACAACGACGTCACGTGATAATGCGGTATGACGTCACTGTAATCCGGAGGGTTTTCTTTTTTAATTCTTGCGCCGACGGTGGGTGTAGACGCGTCCGTTTCTACACTGTGTCTACGGGGTTTCCAGTTCTCGCATTACGGTCAAAGCTTTGGGTCTATATCATATATACGTCGCCGATGGTGGTATACGTGGCCACTACATTGTACTGTGTTTGGGATGTTTTGACCTGAGCGCTGGCAGTATATATAAGATCACGACGTACCGTCTACGATAACGAATCGTATTGGAACGTTTTCGAAAATATTCTGCGTGATTATTTTACGCACACGCGCGCACACCTTATGCGTATTGCCCTGTCCGTAAAGCGGTGTAGTAAACGTTGGTGAGGAGGCGGTAGGGGCCTGTTAAATTTAATTTATGCTAATACTAACTAATATGGTTTCATATTGAGCGAAAATCGACGTGCAAAAGTGTCGTACGAAATCGTCGTCGGGTGTGTGAGACGATGGTGGCTGGTGGTCGCTGCCAGCGTGACGTGCCAGCGTAGGGTTTAGTACACCTGCTCGTTTTGGTTCTATTCATTGACGACGTTGCGTGTGGCGAACTGTCGTGCAAGCCATACCAGCTGCGTGCGTGTGTGAGTGCGTGCGTGCGCGTGTGCGCGTGTGTGTGGAAAGGGCGGGGCGGGGGTTATTCCCAGGTTTAAAACTCTACGCATGCGCAGTCCGTGTGTTACCGTTGATGGTACCTCCACACTCACGATTGTTTACCGCCTAACTTTCATCTACCCTTAGGTGGATGTTACTGTTCGCCGCTGTTTCAGTGGGTTGTGGCCGTCGCGCAGGTTAAGTGCCTGTGGTGTATGGTACCGCATGTCGATTTTTTTTCCGCACAGTTATATGTGTTTATCTGTGCAAAAGCCAAATATAGTATTATATACACCACCCATGCAGGCAGTCTTCAGTCGGTACGTCGGTTTGTTTCGCAAGTAGCGAGTGCTGCCTTCCGCGTAGGAACCAAGAAAAAAACGAGAAATGTGTTCGATAGTGGTGAATTCTTACGTTTCGAGTGTCTTTACACACGGTATCAGAGGAAACTTTGAATAAATGCTAACTAACATGTTTGTGTGCTTGCCATTTGGGCCACCTATAGGCCGATGTGTACTCCGTTGAATTTCATTCTGTGTGATAGTCGCGTGCGCTGTCTCTCCGGTAGGTTCACAGGTTCAGCAGTGTGTCTTTATACCGATTTTCGGACGGGGTAAGAGGAAAGTGCTGTGTACAATTCTCTGTGTACAAGTCTAACACATGCGCTCGCTCAGTAATTAATTTATCGGTCAATCTATCGGTAATTAAATTATCGGTCATAGTCAATTATTTCCTGTCCATTTTTTTCAGTTCTATGTTCCGTTTGTGATATTTGTATGTGCAGACGTGACCCACCTATACCCCCCCCCCCTAACATTCATAACTTCTGTTACAGTGGATATGAAATGCTGTTATGAAATGGAATAAATACGGTGCTTTGTAAGTAACGTTCTAGTTTTACGTGTATATTACGTTCGTGATATTAATATAATCAGGAGCGTATAATGACATATTTGTCATTATACGCTCCTGATATAATGTAAAGTGCGTCTTCTTTCGACGTCTATCTACCGTGCCGCGTACGCGCTGTCCTGTCTGCATCAACTCTTCTATATAGACTCTGTCCCCAAAGGCTCCCGTTTCGTTTCTTCGTAGTTCGTTTCTTCTATGTTCCTTCACTGCTAACCTTTCTCAGCTCTAACCTGGTCTCCGCTTTTCGTACTCCCTCCCCCTACAACAATTGAGGCAGGCAATTCAAATTCTTATTATTTGTTTACGATTGTACACAAACAGACAAGGGAAAATTCAACCTGTATCATATAATGTGTGTGGCACAGTGTGGGCGTGTGTGTGTGCGTGCGTGCGTGCGTGCGTGCGTGCGTGCGTGCGTGCGTATTATTTGTTATCGAACCATCGAATTGATTATTAAAGACAATTAGGCACTGTCCGTTAATTGTTAGGGGTATGGTCTGAACATGTTACGTCTATCTATCTCGAATCGCGATCTGAGTGAACAGCTGCAGCTGCTAAATCTATCTCGCTGTGCCATCTACGGGCGCATAATGAAAGGAAAAATGAACCGCGGTGAAAGTGAAGAGCGAGCAACAGATTACGCGGCTATACTATTCGGAGAAAAAATGGGAATTACGGGATGGCGGTGGTGGTTGCGTAGCGCTCCGCTGCGCACGTGAATAGAGCGTGGTGATGCGCATCCGCCTTCTGCTTGCCGGTGCTTTTGTTTTTAGTCCACGTTTAACCGAGAGAAAGAGTGATGACAATATGCTGTCCGTGTCTCTCTCCGCGGAGTGAGGTATGCGGGATTCGTGTTTTACCCCGTCCGCTAGCCCACGCGGGGTGGTACGTCTGTGACGTCATGCGCTGTTGTGACTGCTCGGACACGGTGCACGCGGATACACGTGGACGCTTACTCACTTCCATCGCTCGTTACGATCAACACAGATTCGGATACCTACTGATTTGGGTCAACTGAAGATCGTTGTTGCAATCGTGAGTCCATTTATAACAAAATGATCGTGGAGCTCATCATCGTTTCTGTCGTATTTTCTGGCGAGTTTGATTTTTTTATAATGCGCATGATTTATCTCTGTTATGACATCCTTTGAGAAGATTAGGTTTTTTTTTGCCTATCTCTCTTAGCAATATGTATTATTATCAGGAGTGTATAATATAGATATAGATCTGTATTATACACTCCTGCTATTATTAAAGTGATTACGTCACCGTAAATAGTAAAAAATAAAAAATATTTCCACTTTTTCACAAAATATAAGTAATTCTGTTCACTTTTTATGGTTAAATTGCTGCATTATACTTCTTATTTTACTATGGGTTAATTATTGTTCGATGTGAACATACACTCGTGACGCATACATAGCCCATAGCAAGGAATTAATGTTAGGAACACTAATATCAAATCTTTCAGGTTTTTTTGGATTTTTAACTAGTTGAGAAACAATCTTATCAGGTAAGAATTTGACGATACGTTTAGTGCCGTTAGTTCTTACTTTTGATGTAAAAAATGGCAACAACATTTTTACAAATTTTACCATAGAAAATTCGTGACGTAGTCAATTTAATAGGTTGGTAAGGGCGTGCATCCATGCGTGCGTCTTTGCCTAGCTGAACGCAGTGGTGCGGTCGTCCGTGCTTTCTTGCATACGTGCGTCCGCACGTGTGTAGGGTGTGCGCGCGTCCGCACGTGCACGTATATGCGCACGCGTGTGTGCGTGCGTCCGCACGTATGTGTGTGTGTGTGTGTGTGTGTGCGTGCGTGCGTGCGTGCGTGCGTGCGTGCGTGCGTGCGCGTGTGTGTGTGTGTGCGCGCGCGCGCGTAGTGTGTGTGTGTGTGTGTGTGTGTGTGTGTGGTGTGTGTGTGTTTGTGTGCGTGTGTGTGTGTGTGCATGCATGAGACAGAGAAAGGGAGGCTATAGCGAGAAGGGGATGTGACGTACAAATGAATGAGAATGTGACGTACAAATAAATCAGAAAAGAAGGGAGAATTAAATTAGTGGGAATACAGAAGGAATAGAGTGCACAAACGGGAGAGTGCATGGTTGGGAAATCAATGTGCTCCTTTTTAGGGAACTGTAATTCTTCGAACTTTTGATTCTGATCACATATGGCCTATTTATTGTCTTGCTATAAATCTATTTATTTATCTGCGCATAACATCTTTGCATTATCTATTTTAATTATTTACGCGAGCATCTGCCGCCTATGCCGACCCATCGTGTTCTCCTGTCTTCCCACGTTAGCATTTTTTCCACACAGCTGTCATAGCTAGGTCTACAATGGATCTCCGGTAGCGTGAAATCAAAATGGCTGGTAATTACTTGTGAAAATATTGCTTTAATGTGTACATCAATACTGCCGCGTCGCATTCCGCTGTAATTAAGCATTAATTAGGTAGGTCACTCACCTCTCCCATTACACAAAAATTATTTACTGTGTTAATGGTTCTAATAATGTATTTACATGAAACTATAATTCGTCGGCATAATTTTTATTAAATTAGCACACTTGGGTCAACCGAATTTTTTTTCGCATAGACCTAGTATGTCATTCTAAAATGTCAATTTTTATTGACGCTCTCCAGAAGCAAATGTATGACATAATTATTGTGCCTACATAAGGGCAAGGGTAGCCTACATCAGACACTTGTTCAGCTTTCGGGTTATCGATCTTTTACGACCAATATAAGGGCTTGCCACTCTAGAAGAGTATTATATTATACACGATGCAAGAAGATCGAAGCAATTAATCTTCTTGTGGAGAAGTTAGCATGTCATCAATCAAACAAGGATAAACAAACATAATATAATCAGTCTTATTGGTGAATACGATTCGACACGTGTTACACTAAACAACGAGCGAGATAATTAATTGTGCGACTTATAATTATATTGTTGATTTTCCATAAAATCGCTTAGAAAAACTCGATGCAAAGTATAGATACAATCAGCCTATCAGGAGTGTATAATATAGACTATATCTATATTATCAACAGCTTATAATACCTATTATAAGCTCTTGATATATATTATACACTCCTGATACGATTATGCACCTCGGCTAAATTAACTGGCTCCATATGACGACTGCATGCACAGGGGCTGAAGGCGATAACGCTGATCATGTATGTGATTTGTGCCGAGCTACCAGGTGGTTTTGACTCATTAACAACTTTTCAATTATTTTTGTAGAGCCCTGCAGGCACAACGGCTCTGTCTCTCGCAAATGGATTATTTTTTATTATTTAGATTCATGTTCGAACTTATTGCTCTTTTCGTAATTTATATGTTGCCCCTTATGTTTAATTTAGTTTCTAAACCTTTGCACTAGAACCTTCCCATGAAATATTATTGATATAAGGCGACAGCTCGGCCGCTATATGTCGCGTCCCCGATGCACGCGTATGCGCGCGTGCGTGCTTGCGTGTGTGCGTGCGTGCATGCGTGCTTGTGTGTGTGTGCGTGTGTGCGCATTTACCAATATCGTTTATTTGCAATGATATACATTTCAGGTCAAGCGCACATAATTATACTCACGAGTAGTTTAGGCTACTATGAAAAATGTCTATAACAGTCCCGCACTCAAATAATTATAAGGCGTCCTAGCTGTTGTGCTGAATTTCAATTTACTGTAGCGTAAGTGGACTATGCAGTGTCTATGTCTATTCTAGCTCACTATTTGCCAAATATAGTAGTAGAGAGTCAGGGGCGGACTGGCACCTTGTGGGCCCTCGGGCAATACCTGTGATTGGGCCCCCATCCACTGACCGCGGTCGGGGGTCCGGACTTTGTGAAACTCAAAAAGCCTGCAATATCAAAAATTCTCGATAAGGAATACCTTGTTGAAATTTTTACACCAAATCACTCATTCAAAAAATAAAGTTGTTAGGTAGGTGATTGGAACTTTTAAAAAGTGGTGGAACCCTCACCCTCCTATGAATTGGAAAAAGTCCTCGGATTTGGGGCACAATATTTTCCAGACCGACCGATGAAGAAGAAAAACTAAAAAAATTAAAAATTAAAATATTTGAAAAATATTTTTTTCGATGCCCATGGGCTCCCCTTGGCCCTATGGGCCCTCGGGCAATGCCCGATTTGCCCGAGGGGCCAATCCGCCCATGTAGAGAGTATGTATATTCATGTGTAGGGTATGGCCCTACTAGAAAAATATCAATTGCGTACCGTAGGCTATGCGTATTAGTAGAGCGTAAGTAAGGCCCCCTAGAAGGTATGAAACGTATATATTCGCGCGATCCAGTATGATCATAATGTATTCTCAGATATGAAGAATACAATATTTATGATAGTAGCAAAATAACCATAGAAATAGTGTCTCTATATATTTCTATGAAAATAACACAATAGTAATCTGCCAACAGATGGCGCTAAACAGTTTGTGCGGCTGTGCGCTGCTTTGAAAAGGTTTGTTGTTGTCACGAAAATACGGTCGATCAGTGATGTGTGTACAATGAGTAGGTTTATGTATCGATCATCATAACGTTTTAATATTGTAGCTTGCTTGATGATGAAGTTAATGAGCCTTGATGTCAAATGATAGCATCCTTTACTTTTAAACAGATTAGCTACACAACACTCAGTTGTGATATGTTCAGTTCATCTTTGCTTCACAGTACTCGGTACTTACTCAAGTTACTGCACAGTGACGCTTAGATACAATAATGGGTTCAAGGATAGAGAACATGGGTCCCAATAAAACCAATGTCATTTACATCAATATAAATATAATATTATATCAATATAATAGGTCAGGGTTATGGTTAGGGTTAGGGTTAGAATTAGGGTTAGGTTTAGGCACATACACCCATTGACAGTTCTGCGCCTATGTTCTGCGCCATTAGTTACGCATCTCCGCAAGAGCCCGGATGTGCGAGTAAACTCCGCAATATTGTTTATCTCGATGCGTTATCTGCCTTGCATACGCAGGTCGCTCACCTTTGTGTCGAAGAACAGTGCACGTAGCAGGGAATAGAGCACCGATAATGGATGACCTGAGTGA